TTCAAGGATTAGTAATCTTATAATTAACTCCTCCATATAGTCTCCTCAAATGCCATTATAATTATAATAGCATTGAAATGATATGGCACCCTTCCTCCAAATGTTAAAGAAATAAGATAAAAATATTGAGGAATCCCTAGCTTTTTATCTCCTAGGCAACTGAGTATTTCAATTAAAGGGACATTACCTCTTTTTAGCTGAAATTTGCATTTTATAATTTTGATGGAAAAATATATTGTATCAGAACGTCTGCCAGTTAAAGAATAATATATTTTTTAAAAGAACGTGTGTAATCACTTGAAACTGTCAGTCATCTGATATAAAGCAGTTCACTCACATCTGGCTAAGTAGTACCTTGGAATGCTTTAAACAAAATGAAATGATCTACCAAAACACATACTAACTACTTCCTAGTCTTTATGCACATAATGTAGCATGAAATCATGATGCTTTTGGAATATTCTGTGCAGAAATATTTATTTTTTAGCAAATATTTTCTTCAAACATTGGTATGTGGTATTGACAGTGTAATCTACTTGCACAACTAGTTTTGCAATAACCTACAGATAACTGTAAATAAGAAAAATGTAAATTTCATGTAAAAATGATTGCAAATTTTTGGTAGCTCAAAGAAGTGTACAAGTTGTACTGAAAATATAGTATATATACATAATTTAAGAATGAAGCATATAATTTCTGATCTATTTATACATGAAAAATCCAAGAATTTATAAAAGAAATTATTTTGGGGAAAAAGAAAGTAAATCTCATTAGCTAGCTAGGATACTTTATTACTAGAGAAGCCAACTATTTCCAACATTTTACTAGGTACAGTACTAGGTATAGGCATGGTGGTGCTGATGTATTTCATGAAATCACATAATTGTAACAGTGCTACAGTTTTACTGAGTTCCATCAGGACACCAGTAAGCCTGACTGAGTGGTAAAAAACATTAAAGAAACATAAAAACAGTTAATTTATTATTGCCTGTCAAGACCACAATAGTAATTGACTAAAACATTTATTGCTTATTTAAAATTTCTGATGGCTAAACAGGCTTTAAGTTATGTGCGAAATAACTTTTTTATTAATTATGCTTGATTCTTTTTATTAACTAAGAATGAAAATATCCAGATACTACTTTCTTTTGCCTTAGTTTCATACTTTCTTAAATTTCCACCCTGTTGCTTCTCTATTATGTTTAAGAAAAAAAAATCAAACAATCTTCAAAGAAAATTTTTAAATAAAATTTGTTGATCATAATGTGGCATGTACTAAACTAAGGTCTGTTTATAGTCTGTTTAGGGACTTAGACACCCCAGTCTTCCTTTTCAAGATTTAAAAAACCAAGAGAACATTTCTCTATGTGATAAATGAAAAACCAAACCAAATACAGATAACAGAAAACATTGTATGAATATCTATAAGTGAGGCCAATCAGAAAATGAAAATCCAAGTATGAAAAGGCTAAATATTTTTAAATTTGCCATTAGATAAATTATTATCTCTTTCCATAAGATAAATTTGAGGATACTATATTTAGATATCTATAGGAAATTAAATATGCATCTAAAAGTTCAGCAAATCCTAAAATCATTTTAAAATGGCCTATAACTTTCAAAAAACCATGAATCTTTGATTAGCATGTTTTTGAAACATACTAGCATTGTTCAGGTTATCCTTTGAAATTTCAGTAATCATAGCAAAATAAAATGTAAGTAATATAGTCAACTAAAATGCAAATGACTGTATGCATGTATCCGTACATATTTACATTCTAATGGTGAAGGGAAAAGGTTGGAATTCCTCCACCATGTATCAGAATTAAGAACTAATAATTCCTGGCATATATGTCTTTCAACATAGCTATTAAATGATGATCTAGGCCAATTTTCACTTACTGTAGGCTTTCCAAATTGCCACCAGCTCTGATGTTACAGCAGGGTTACACCAGAAAACACAATAGCACACAGGCAAAAACCCTACTCATTCGCTAACTGCATAGGACATCATAGTGATGCAGAAGTGTTGCCAATGTCTAGTTACTATATATTCAGATATAGAGAAGCACACCTGAGTTTTGAATGCTGGCAAAATAATACATAAAGCTGCATATTACCAAGCTACTTGGATAAAAGAAATATTAAGTATGTAAGACTCTTTCTTTATATGCCTAAAAAAA